ACAGGCCCATAAAGATAGGCCCATTAGCTAACAAATAAATAAATAACATACTACAAGAAAAGATACTAGGGCCCATTCGGCCCAGTCTCTCTACAAGAAGTTAATTAATGAGTTAGGGGCAGTTTCGTTCATAGTCAGAATCAGAATTGGAATCAGATTGGAATCTGAATGGTCTATTCCTCCCACCTGTTTGCTTCAGATGGGAATTGAAATCGGAATCAGAATCAGTTAGAATGGATTCTCATACCCAAGGGAGGGGAGAGAGAATGGCCATTCCCTCAAACGGGGGAATGCCATTTAGGGATGAAACTTGGACAGGCCCAACCCAAGCCCAAACCGACCCGGCCTAAAATTTTACATGGGTTGGGCTTGGACCTAGCCCTTGGGTAGCACAAGCCCAGCCTGACCTTGTCCCAACCTGAGGGCCAAACCCGACCTGACTATACGCGTTCATACATGCATATATAAAATTATAGATGTGTATTTACATATATACATACATGTGTAATTTTAGAGTGGGTTCACTAACCAACCTGAGTGCATCAAATTACAATGTGGGTTGGGAAGATCAGGCATGACCTCAGGCTCAGGCCTTAGGCCCAAATCTTACGGTTGGGCCTGAGTTGACCATAAACTCAACCCAGCCCGTCTGACTTGCACCCCTAATGCCATTCCACCAGGAATGGCAATAGGATTCCGATTTTGCCCAACCAAACGGTTGGATTCCAATTTCAATTCTAGACCCCTATTCCTGCAAACCAAATAGAAATAGACCCTTAATTTTAGAAGTTGGTGAGAGAGAACAATGGCATGTCAATCACATAAAGCCAATTTTGAATTTGAATAAATAAGTTAATAAGAGCTAATGACATGAAATAAGGTACAAAAGTTCATACAAATAAAATAATAAAGCATTGTCTGACACTCATAGTATTGGTCTGTATTGAATCTGTATCAACTGATGCAGACTGATGTTGAGAACATATCAGCCAATACTGTGGATACGAGTAAAATGGAGTGGAGTTTTGGCCATTCTACCCATGCCCTGTGCCAGTAACCTCAAAAACCAATACATTTCAACCTATACATATAGATAGTTTGAACTTTGCTTTACAACGTTTCCCTCATTCAGATCCCAATTTACAGTGAAATTCATGGATGAGGAAGATAGGGAAGGAAGCAAGCAAAATCAAGCTTAGTCTTAGAGCAAGGATTTGAATCCATCCATCATCTAGTGCCACTACTTCTTGGCAGCTTATATACGGTTAAATGGTTCATCAAATGCCTAAAGAATAATGATGGTAGGATAACATAAAGGATATGATAGCAGGTTGAGGGAAACACATTATCGAGTTATATCTTTAGGACCTGTTAGCATGGAATGGTGCAAACCTGATGAGACTGATTGTCAGAACTCAAGCTTGTATCTGAAAGTAAGACCTTAGAAGAGAATGGAGATTACAAACTACAATGATAGATAGCTGCTAGCCAGCACACTAGAGACATTGTCTATGCTCCAGAGTAGCCTATGGAGCAGAAAGGTCAACAGTGAACTCCCATATGGGCCCACCAGTGGCAAAGCTATCTGAGGTGACTTATGGAATCACACACAAGTAAGGAAGTATAGAAACAACATATAACTGACAAACGGAAATGATGCTGATCTTACAAGAGAGGATGGACGGATAACAACTTTACACCTGCAGCAAAAGTGATCTGACCAAACATCATGAAAGATGAAACTCAAGCATATGGTGAAAAGAATGAGTAAAAGAGGAAGGTCCTGCCAGAGTGAAAACAGAACCTTCAAAGAATGGTGTATCTATGCATATAAACATGGGGGTCCATGCAGTGGCATCCATTAGGTCGAACATATCTAGACACACTTAGGCGGGTGAAGCTCAAAGCATTTAGGGAAGTATCTTCAACAGTTGGGACAAACCCAAACACCTTACCATGGAGTTCAATAGTTCCATCCATAATAGCACTTGTGCTGTGGACAGCATCTATGAGAAAATGTCTTGTAATGGATCAACTGGTAAGAACAAGAATAACCAGACAGTACTCCCTATTTGTGTGCCTGTCTGAGAGAATAACCTATTACTCATTTTTAACATCTATGCAGTTAAATGCTGTTCCTTGGCTCAATCATGTTGTTAGCAATTTAAAAGAGTTAGAATACCTGGATACCTGTTTGAATACTTCAAACTTTAGTGAAAATTCTGTATTTGACACCCTGTCCAACTCTGCCCTTGCCATAACCCAGAAACATAGTTAAGAACTAATCAGAATAGGATATCATGTTGAGCACATTCTTACATGCAGAGCTGTTGACATGGGTAAGAGAAATGCACAACTGTTTTTGGCAATATGGATGACTTACAAGCAGTGCTCTGAGGGCTTAAAATGGCAAGGGAGGCAGATTACAGAATTTGATAATTGAAGGGGATTCAGGTGATTATAACTTGTAAACTGCCTGAAAGAAGATATGGTAGGCCCATGACAATATAGACATCAGATTAAGACCTTTTTCATTGATGAGCTAACATATTCATTTAAAAAAAATGGAAAAAAAAAAAACAAGATCCCTGATCTGTCCAAAAAGACAGTAGGAACAAATACAACAAAAACAGATTACCAGCTGACATAAAACAAATATTTGGTTTATACCAATCCGGGATCTGAAGTATGGAAAATTTGCCATACAAATGGCAAATTTGTACATTATATGTCTTTCTGGTATAAATAGCTTAATACAATACTTGTTCTTTACCTTTTGAAAACGGGGTTCAAGTGTAGAAAATAAGCAGACTACAGGTAAGCTTACAACATTAAGCAAATATATCAGATAAACAAATTCGTTTTTGTGCCAGGGAGATCAATCACAAAAGCTATCTTTTTATTGAGATCAAGGTTCAAAATATCGATACACATTTTGGTCCTTTTTTTTTTCGCAACCGGTTCGGGAGGGGGGGGGGCAGTTTAGGTCTCCTCTACCCCCTGAACCAGTCAGACGTCCGATACACCCACTGTAGGGGCGTATCGGAGGGGTCCCGGAACGATACGTGTCGATACTTTGAACCTTGATTGAGATGATTGATATAAAAGTTTAAGGAGAAGAAGAGAGATATTGAAATGATGTTAAAAAAAGAATATGCCACAGTTCCCATAAAGAAAATATGATGGGTTTTAGTACAGAAAAGAATACCAACAAGGTATGTGGACCTAATTATGGACATACATGAGAGTGCAACAACCAATGTTGGAACCCACGGGAAAGAAATCAAAGTTTCCAGTTATGTTGGGACCCCACCAAGGTTCAGCACTAGCCCTTGTGTATTTACACTATGGATAAATTGACTAAACATACTGATGAGGAGGTCGTGTATGTTGTTTGCTAATGAGTAATGACACGGTATTAATTGATAAAACTAGAGGGATTAAATGCGATGTTGGATTTATGGATAATTTCCTTAGAAACAAATGGTTTTAAAATAACCAGAACAGAAGCAGAATATATGCAGTATGGCTTAAATAATAGAGTATAAATTAGGGTAAACTTAATTGGAGACTAAGAGATATCTCTTTTGATCAGCGAAACTAAGAGATATCTTTTGCCTTAGTGGTGATTCCTCATCAGTGGCAAAGCATCGGCCAAAATAAACCTTGCATGTTTCATTCATCCAATCTTAAAAGAAGTGTGTAGTTTGTTAAAAATAAATAAATAAGCTTACTACAATAATCCTGATGCTAGATAGCACTTATATAAGAATGACAATCATGGGGAAAATGAAGAAGGTAAGTGGAGAGCTAGAACAAACATAAACAGAGTAAAGCTTACCAGCATGGTTGAGATTTTTTAATCTGTTGCACACTTGCAGGCCAATTTCTCCCGAGCGGCTCTTGCGTTGTCATACTCAAACTTCAACACATCTGGTATGTGTGAAGAATCCTTGATATAAAGCATCCTCCCAATTGTACTCTCTTCAATTGCCGGAAAATAGCATATAAGCATAGAATTGACAACCCAAAACCACAAGGCCCCCAGAGCAATACCAAGCGTGGCACCGGCAAAGACCTGTGCGACAGTGTGGTACCCCAAGTAAACCCTAGAATACATAGTGAGTAAGGCCACAGACCAAGGTATAAACCCCACAGTGAACTTCTTCCTCACGCCGGCGAGCCCAATTCCTTTGTACATGAGAAGAGTGTAGTAGACTGCGAAGAAGAACATGTACTGAGAGTGACTGGAGGGCCAGCCGTGGGAATCGCACATCTCGAGTAGCATGCATGTCTCGGGCCGAGACTGCTGAACCGATTTTTTAATGACTTCGTTGATAAACTGAGATATGAGGAGGCCAAGGGCAAAGAAAATGCCCTGAAGCTCTCGACGAAAAACAAAATGAGAAATGAAACCACCAAGGCTGATGAAGACAGGGATCAAAGAAACCCATGCAAGGAAGTGACCCAATCGGTCGCCCTTTTGGTAGCGAACGTGTGTGAGAGTCACAGCTTTGAGTAGAGGAGTTGTCATACTGCCGGATCTCTGATCATAAAAAAGATGGACCTGGTTTCCGGTGTCCTTTCAGAATGCAGAGAAATTCACTCGGTTGTCGCATAAAGGAAGCGTGGCGTGTCTCTCTGTTCGCAAAGAGGGTAAATTACAGATTGTCACCCTGCACTTCAGAGGTAGTGACACAGCCCTCCCCTCCGAACTCATTCTTTGCGTAAAAAGACCTATCGTTAACTTGTTCCGATACTCTGCACCTCTGTCTTAACGGTTTTGACGACAAAGAGAAATTTACTAACATATCTGATATCTGATGATGCTCAATCCGGCCGGTCTTACCTGTCAACGACCTTGCCTCTGAGCTGAGTAGCGGGGAACCTGAAACGGAGGGGATGAGGAAGCTCCGGGGAGAACCCGGTGTAAAGGCTCCGAAGCTTAAGTTAGAATCCTTCAAAGGCAAGACAAAACCAGATAGCGCAAAGTTTGCATACCTCCTCTTTGGGGGAGTGGAGAGCCTTTTATAACCACCTCGCACACTTACTCCTAGACTTCTGTCAGGTCGGGAATGATTATTTCCGTGCTTCTGCCAGTTCGGGCGTTATCGCCTCTGCTGGGGCAGAACCATCACTGCTCTTTTTGTCGGAGCCATCTCTATAACTAGAGATGGTGATGGCAGGTGACGGTGGCAGGTGGCCGTTGAATTGCGGCCGTCAAGCGTCAGATCCCAAGTTAGTCAGGCGCACTGCCCCTGGATACGGACTCCTTCGGTGTCAGGTACGGTGTGGTTCGTCCAATTCAATGCTCTGGAGGCGAAGTGCCTGGAGCAGTGCGCGAGGCGAAGTCTTGAGTTCGGATAGGGGGGTGTCCCGAACTGTCATGAGACGGGCCAGTTCGGGTTTCTGCTTTGTGTGACAGGGCCAAAGGGAGAGTTCGGGCTCCTCGTAGGGAGTTCGGGCTCTAAGTAGGGAGTTCGGGTTCCTCGTAGGGAGTTCGAGCTCTAAGTAGGGAGCTCGGGCCCCTTGTAGGGAGTTCGGGCTCCTCTTAGGGAGTCGCTCCTCAAGGGGAGTTCAGGCTCCTCTTTTAGGGAGTTCGGACCGCTGGTCTCTCCCCTTTGGTGTTTTGTACCCTCGGCACGCTGTTTTAAGTGCCGAACTACTTGTTTTTTGCCACGTGGCGCGATTTGCGAGGTCGGGCTAAATCTTCCTTCATCAATATCCTTTCCAGGATTTCTAGGATGAAAAAAATAATACATCAAAATAATGAAAATAGGTATGTTAAATTCACTTTTTTTTATTTTGGGAAAATTCCTGATTAGTAGACTGTATTTGAGCCTAGCGCCACTTTGGTCCCCAAACTTTAAAATACAACAATTCAATACCCAAACTTTGAAAACATATCAATGCATTACCTACTTTAACTTACTGTTAAGTAACATCTGAAAAAGACACAAATGCCCTTCAAGTATCATCTAATTTTTTTGATCAACCATCCAAACATTGACAAAAAGTGGCAATGAGTAGGGGAAATGTTTTGAATTGGATATCTATGGTCTGGAACATTAATTGTCCCCCATAATTGAGGGGTTTTCTTTTTCTATTATTGAAAATAAGCTTCCATTGAAAACTTTCCTCAATTCTAGAGGCTTTAATGTTGATCCGAGATATAATTTCTATGGGGAAGTTGAGGACCTCGACCACATTTTTAGAAATTGTGTGGTAGCTAGGGGTGGCCACGAGCTATTCGAATTTAGCTCAGCTCAATTTAAATCGAGCTTCGAGCTGAGCTTGAGCTTGATATATAGGCTCGTTTTCTAATCAAGCCGAGTCCGAGCCTAGTGAAGCTCGACTCATGAGGCTCATGAGCCTAGTATAATAAATGGATATTTTTTATTATATACATATACATATATATATATATATATATATATATATAGAATAGCTTTTATTATATATAATAATATTTTTACTTTTTATGTATAATAATAAATAATTTTTATAATTCTTAATTTATTTGTATGTAAAAAAAAATATTTTTATATGTATAATTTTTATTTTTTAGAAAAAAAACTTAGCTTGTAGTCTAACTGGAGCCGAGCCTAACATTATGGTTGTTGGCTCGGCTCGAATACACCCCTAGTGGTACCTAAACAAGTATGGTTGTTGGCTAATCACTTAATAGAAGGCCCACATGAGCATGAATCATCTCTCTTCGATTGGTGGGTGAGGATCAGTGATTTAAATTCGTTTGAAAAAAGAAAAATGTGTTCACTTTCTTTGGTACATCTGGAAAAACTGAAACCAAAAGGTCATTAATAATAAGTCGACCCCTCCTCATGTAGTAATGGATAGAGCTTTAAACTCATGGTTGGAGTTTGGTAAATTGAGAGACAGTCGAAGCTGTAAGAAGGTTGATAAGACTTGGAATCTCATTAGGTGGTACCCGGACTCGGGTTGCATTAAAATGAATTTTGATGCCTCCCAAGAATGGTTGGTGTTCAATGGCGGCAGTAGCTAGAAACCATCTTGGCAGAATTTTGGACTATAAAGGTTACTCTTTAGGCATCACCACAATTAATGAGACAGAAGCTTGGACAACTTGAGAGGCTCATAACCTGACAGCAAATTTCATGGAGTCTCTGGTTGTCATCGAAGGTTATTAAAAGCTCGTCATATTGTGTGTAAAGGTTAGGTCACCCTGAGGAACATCATCAAATACTGTTTGGAGTTAAAAAGGACAAGTTCAAAAAAGGCATTCGTTATAGGCTTATATTCAAAAAAGGCATTCGTTATGAACATTTATTCAAAGAAGTGAATCAAGTGGCTGACTGGATAGCAAATGAAGCGAGCTCCTTGTTCGGTAGTTCTTCCTTCTTTGACCTTAATAAGCTCCATTAAGAGTTAATTTTCATTTGCTATTGTGGTTTATTGAGACATGTTACCCCGGTCTTGTTTGGCCTTCGGTTTTATAAAATAAAGCTTGATGTCATGGACCATTGGGTCACTTGTGTTAATGACCCAAATAACTCAAGGTTCTTATTATAACTTGTTTTTGTCTTTAGCTCTTGTTGGTGATTTTTTCTGCTTGTTGCTCTCCTTTGTGTTAATGAAATGTACTAGGGGAGGGGGGCGTGCTAACTGCTAAACACGGGCGAAAAGACTATCGATTGTTGCATTCTTTGGGGATGAAAGAGGTCCATTACTAACTTCATGGTGAATGGGAATTTACTATGTACACCATTTTCTTTTGGTGGACCTCACAAAACCTATTTTGCAAGGTTTTATAGTCTTGACATTTTGGTGAAGCTTTTTCTTTCACCAAATGACCTAAAACAATGCTAAAGCATCGGAACCTAAGGCTGTGTTTGGTTGCAATGCAAAAAAAAAATTGCATTAATGTAAAACTGTGACAGTGCAGATGATTTAAGTGTAAATTCTGATCTATTTTTGTTTCAAATTTTAATTTATTTTGTTTGATTGCATTACAAATGAAGTAATTTAAGACATGAAGCAGAATAAAGTAAAATAAAAAACAAAATTAAACAAGAATTCACATTTTTTTTTACATTTGCACTCTCATGCATTTGTACTAATGCAAATAAGTTTGCACTGCAACCAAATACAGCCAAAAATAATAGAGCCAAAAGTTTCACTATGAATTAAAGCCTAAAAAGCAAAGATGTTAAGCAGCTACTACAGGTCCATAGCAGTCCTACTTTTCACTTCATAAATAAAAAGCCTGCAATGATCATAAGAACATGATACCTGATACTGTCCAGCATTATTCTCTACGATACCTATTAACAAAATTCAAAAATAATATTATTAAACAGTAGACTATTATCATAGAATAGTAGAAGAAAATAAAAATAAAATATTAAATAAAGTTAAACCTAAATGAATACCTAAAAGTGGTAATATCTACAAGAATAGAAAACAAATAGAGATGAAATGGTAATCAGTGGTAAACTATAAATTAGTTGATTATCTAAATTGATAATTGATAAGTTGTGTAAAATCTGATTAGTGTACTTAAACACTCCAACATGTAATTTATCAACAAGAAAATAAGATATAAAGATGCAATCATATGATAAGGAACAAATTTAATACTTCTGATAGATTACAGTTAATTATAATTAGAGATGGTTTAAAGTTTTTAAAGTTAATGGCAGAGGCCAAATTGAAACTTTTTTAAAGTTTAGATACAGTTACAACATGATTAAAAGTTCGGGTACTAACTTGACATTACCCTAAAGTTCTAAAAGTGAAATTTCCCTTATTTTTATTCTATCTTCTATCCGTAACCTGTCATCACAGCGGCGGTTTTTTGCGCGTCCGGATTGACACACATCGGGTTGTCGCCTCTGAAGCAGTGTAAATTGTTTCTTTTCTTTTCTTCAAAACCGAACTACATTTCTTAATTCGTTGCACTGGGTTTGTTATCTAAAATGAAAGGCCCCAAAGCACACAAAGAGTGATATTTGGTGATCGAAAATGGCGGATGAAAGTTCCCCTTGGCACAGAAGACGGCCTAACAAGTCTATGGGCATGTAAACCTGGAATATCATCAACTTTTTTGCTTCTTTAATTCTTTTAATACGAGTCTTGTTGCCTCTTTAGAAGGGTTCTAACTTCTAAGCTTGGTAGTTCATAGCCATCGTTCCTTTAATTAATTGATCAATTAAAAGAAATAAATTATTTAAATGGGATTGAGTTCATCAAGAAATCCTGTGATATGCTTATACGTTCAGTACAACATGTTTTATGCAAGAAATTAAGAGTAGTACGAGTCAAAACGTTTCATTTTTTTTCCTAGTTAAAACGTTAAATCACATCTTACCAATGAAAAACGTAAAATTCCATCTAATTATTTACTTATTGGTTTCCAGTTGGAAATGTTGCCGCACATCGAAGACGACAGTGTGCGGTTTGGCAAAGGAAGAGAAGCATTAATACGTGCCAAGCGTCTACGTAGACATGGTGTTACTGATGATGGTGATACTTTTTCTGCTGAAAGATATGGCGATCGACAAAGAGGAAGCAGCTTTGGATTCTTTAGCTTATAGTGCTGGAGCTGATTTAAAATCTGCTATTGCATACCGGTATCTTTGTCCTCTTCTCCAAATAAATTATGTTTCCCCTCTCCCCCCAGACTCACCCCTAAAAACAGTTTGCAGTTACTACCTGGGTCTAATTAGCTGTGAAAAAGGCTTTAGTTGAGTTGAACTTGGATCTTCTTTAGTTGCCTGTATTTTTGGTGCTGTAGCATTCAAAGCACATTATCTTTGCATAAAAAACAGGATTATTAACTCAACCTTTGACTTTGTGGATGGATTTTTCCAATTATTTGTATTATGCCACTATTGCCTATAGTTGTTATGAAGTTGGGATACTCATCTGTACTGTTTACATTCATCTTTTTGGGTCTGTCATTTTTTCCCGCTGTTTAAGTTATTGAGAGAAGGAGAATTGTATAGGATCTGTTTGTATTACAGTTGCTTGATGTAGCCTGGTATCTTACAAGCATAGCAACAGGAGAACTGGAACAAAGGCCTTACTGCATGTTTTGCATGGTGAGTGTTTTACCAACACTATATATGAAGCAGAGTGTTGGGCAACAACATGTCCAACATGTCCAAAAAATCAGTGTGGAAGAAATGAATATGCTGAGATGGATGAGTAGAAAAACTAGAAAGGATAGGGCCAGAAACAAAGCCATTCAAAGGAATCTAGGAGTAGCTCCAATAGGTGATAAAATGAGAGGAAGGTATACTAAAAGGATTTAGTCACATGCGTAGAAGACCTTAGACCAGCACCCATGAGAAGAAGTGAACTGTTGCAAGTTGAAGGGGCTAGAAGGGGCAGGAGTAGATAAAAAAGGGACATGGTCGAAGTAGTAAGAAATGGCTTAATCACAAATAATTTAACAATGGATATGGTATTCAGAACGGAATGGTGAAAGGATTCATGTATGCGATCCCTTTTAGTTGGGATATGGCTTGGATGATGACGATGATGATGTAATTTTTTCATATTGGTGAAAACTGATTTCAATTACAAGCTTCTGAGGCTATGATATCTAGTTACGTGTACAGGGATGTTGTATCATATCAGATACTACAGTTTTTAATGTAAATTTCGTATCTGGTATTGTATCTAGCCATGTCCTTGCCGTATCCGGGTAACATATAATATGTTACAAATACAATGTAAATAATGAAAAAATTTTACTGTCTTGCATTTTTCACTACAAGGTTTGAAGTAATCTTTGTATTCCTATATACCATGATGATGGTTTCTCTCTTGGGAACCCAGGACTATCTGCTTCTAAAGGAGCTTAGAGAATTAATGTTTTTTTTGGTAGGAGGTATTGTCATATGTGTTCTGATCTTATTGGGCATGGTTGCATAGGAACTCCATTTAGGCTAAGGTTGCTTTTCTTAACCATGGCCATGAATTCACCTGTTCTTATCGTGTATTGAGAGAAAGAACATAGTATACCATACATAAAGGGGGATGGCATTTGTAGTTTGGAATGGGGGCAAAGTTGGTTATGCTAAAGTGGAAAGTGGAGGGGGAGAATGGAAAAAGGGTAGATGAAAGTTTGAAGAAATATCTGTTCCAGCTATTGGGTGTTTCCCAATCTCTGTGAAGGGCCTATTAGCTGGGTGGAGGATTCATGGAATGACAAGAAAGGGAAAGCTTGTTGGGAGGCGGTTCCTCTAGCAGTGCGTGGGGCATTATAGTCTGAAAGGAATAGTAGAATTTTTGAGCAAAAATCTAGTCCAGAGGAGGTGGTGATCAATTTGCAGTGGACATGTTAAGATCTTGGCTGTCAACTCTTACATGTTTCAGTACTGATGATCTCTCATCTTCTTTTTTGAATATTAATTTTTTTGGGGGTCCTTAAAGGGGTTTTCTGTAGAAAATACTGTGTACAGAGGACCATACTTGTATACTTTCTCAGTTAATATAGTGATTGTTCTGAGTTTGGGGGGGGGGATGGATATGATGGTTAGTTTTCTCTTTTTTTATGCCTTATCTGTTATCACCACCTCTACTCTCTCTCTCTCTCTCCCCCTTTTTACTTCATCATCATCATCATCCAAGCCTTATCCCAACTATATGGGGTTGGTTACATGAATCTTGTTTCGCTAGTTTGTTCTGTTTAAGGCCATATCCTAAATTATTGGCATTTGAACCATTTTTTACTACTTCTACCAATGTCCTTTTTTGGTCTACCCCTTGTCATTTAGCCCCTCAACTTGTAACAAGTCACTTCTTCTTATGGGTGTTGTTGATGGTCTTCTATGCATAACAAACCATCTTATTCCACTTTCTCTCATTTTATCACCTATTGGAGCTACTCCTAAGTTCCTATGAATGATTTCATTTCTGATCCTATCCACTCAAGTTTTTTTCCACTCATCCATCTCAATCTATTCCTTGTTATGAATTATCGAACCAAGGAAGTAAAAAAGGTCATATTGAATTTTCCTTGTTTTAATGAAATTTTATTTACTATAAAAAAAAGTCGTGTTTGTTGTGTATTGAGAAAGTATGGATTGAGGGAGACTCTTAGTGGTTATTGCTTGGCTACTTGGGGATTCTGGTAGTTTTTGTCTGTTAGATCATCAGCTCACTATTTGACAGATGCCAGAGATTTGGTTTCTAGTAAACAGCTCATTCGCATGTATCCCAAGATCAGGGTAATTCGATGACAGAGTTTCACTGTGCCTAGGTATGCAAGAAGTGAAATGCACATGGCTCTTGCTATTTCAGGTTAGCTTGTACTTTTGTTGGGGCATTTAGTTTATATAAGGAATGGGATTATATCTTAGGTAGAAAATGTATAAACATGGACTTCAATGCATAGCTGCCAAGGCGATGCATAGGTTCCCATCTAGGTGATACCTAGGCAACAAGGCACCATTGATGGTTACTTCGCTTAATCGCCTACCTATTTTGTACATGCCACTATGAAACACCTTTATGTTCTTTGTTTTTTTTTTATATTATAATAGTTAAATAGATATTATTAAACTAAAATATTCATTTTGTGGGTTTTATATACTAGTTTCTTTTTATTATTTTCTTATTTTTTAGGGTTTAATCAACACACATGTTAGTGTATGTTCCTTGAACCCTCAAATACTTCAAAACCTCAAACAATAAGCAAGGAAGACTTAAAATTCTGTCCAATCAACATATTCATCTCCTAGACAAAAATAGGGGATAAGCCCCTTTATTTTCTGAAATTTCTTTTTCTTTCTTCTTTTTCTTCTCATAAATATGATGATTTCTTATGTTTTAATGTGAAGCCTATACTTTTTTATGAAGTTTATAGATAATTATTAATGGAAGATGGCTACTTATTGCTATGGAGCCTAGGGAATTACCCCAGGGTCCATGGCTTCCATGTAAAAATTTCATTGCCTAGGTGACTAGGCAACAAGGCACCCCCCGTTGCCTAGCTTCGTCTTGGCACCTTGAAAACTATACTTCAATGTAATATCAGATCTATTAGAGTACTTAGTTTGTAACTTTGTATGAGGAGTGGAGTTATCTTTGCCTCTTATTATGTGTCTAAGGGGAAATCAAGGGGCCTTGGAGTCTCAATCATCAACACTTGGCTTAGAGATTGCAAGCTGATTTCTAATGGGTCCTTGTATCTGCCAACTCTCTTGTGGCCTTTTAGCCCATGGAGTAAATGGAGAGTGCTTGAAATGGAGCAGATATTAATTGAATGCACAACATAATCTGGTCACATTGGAGAAAGTGGGAGTAGGGGCTGTAATCAAACTAAGCTAAGTCAAACTTTGGCATATCTTGGCTTGGTTCAACTAAATATTCGATGAGTTCAAGTTTGGATCAAAAGCTCGAAAAACTGATATATTTATTATATATAATATAAAAAAGGGGAGCCCAATACACAAGGCGCCCGCCAATGTGGGGTATGGGAAGGGGATAGATGTATGCAGCCTTACTATCCCTGTACATACAAAGAGATTGTTTCCACATTAATTGAGCTAGGTTCATGGGCTTTCAAGTCGAACTTGAATCAAGCTAATCTAACTCGAGCACAGACTGTTCAATTAAAGCTCATTTCAATTGAAAGTAGCAATGGTTTAGCTCCACAGAAATATTTTGTGGAAATAATGTAAAATAACTTTTGGTACACAGTCAGTTAGTCACTGTAAAAGATTTTAAAGTTATGAATTAATCATTCAAGTCCAGATTTTACCTGAAGAGTTTGAGGTTCTTTAGTCACATATTAAAAATGTGACAAAGAGAAGAGTTCCATTAAGTGTCATGCTATGTCAATGTCCATGTGTGTCTGATATGGGTGTGGCACCCATTTCAAAATGTCCATGCTTCAGTCATTAACCGTTAGTAACACTTTTTCAAGTTTCCATTGTGTTGGGATTACCATTTCACTATTTTACCTTTGGAGTAAAATGGATGAAAAAGCATGTCCCAGTTAATTTGGGATTTCTAAATGTTGAACAATTTCTATTGAATGTTCATTGTGGTAATTGCAGCTTATATGACCCGTTTTCTCCTATAGTTCTATTTAGGACTCCTGAAACTGGATGGTTGAACTTAACTTGCCAACAAAATATATTGTAATGGGTGCACCTTTGGAGTAAAATGTAGTACAAATATCTAGGTATATGCTTCACTATAAGGAATTGTTGAATCATATAGCCCCTGTCTGGGTGTGCTTATTTTTAAGCACGTATTGGAATAAGTTCTTATTTTAGGTCAGGACCACATATATAAGCACTTAGTTGCGTTTGGAAATAAGCCTGAATAAGTGCTTTTTCAGGAAATAAGCTCATTTTGAATAAGCTAAAAATTTTGCCTTTTTTTCCCAAGTGCTTTTTGAAAAAAGTGCTTATTGCGTTTTTGGCCCATCACATAATTTTAAAATGCCTATATTTCCCCCATTTAAAAGAAAACATTTTTTCACCAAAAACTCATGGCACTTATCCTATAAGCACTTATTTATTCAATTAGCACTCCCAAATGGGGGGCATGGTGAAAAATTGAATATAAGAATCCTACAGGATGTAGTGTATTGAAGTCACATCAATGAAACAATTTTATAGAATGAAAATGTTGCATTATTATTAGTAGCTGATTTTTTTAATTTTTTTTTATGGCTACCTGTTAATTTTATTGATTAAGATAAAAAATGTTATGTGTACTGAAAGCAAGCTTACATAATCCAGGCAGCCCCTACTACAACCTAAGTATACCCATTTGTTCTACATACCAATCCATTAGACCTTCATTAGTGACTCCCAGAACATATTTGATCTGTTCACCCCTTGCTTAGCTAACAAATTTGCCAGGCTGTTTGCTTCCCTTGGGATCCACTGTATTTGAGCTCTCAGCTCCTCTAGCATTCTCCTTAGGTCTCTTACAATGTTTCTGTATCTCCACAGACCTGGATTACTGTCTGACAAACAGTTCACAGTTGTGCTGGAGTCTCCTATCAAGATGTCAATGAGGTTTTGTGAGGATGCCAACTCTAAAGCATGGCAGAGATCCTTAGGTCTCTTAGAATATTTCTGTATCTCCACAGACCTGGATTTATCTGACAAACAGTTCACAGTTGTGCTGGAGTCTCCTACCAAGATGTCAATGAGGTTTAGTGAGGATGCCAACTTTAAAGCATGGCAGAGAGCCATCATCTCAGCCTTTAGTGTAACTCCTTGTTCTATTGGACCTCAGTAAAGTGCCACAATTACCTTCCATCTCAAATCACTCTGCCAATAGCAGTTTTACTAGACATGCCCAAACTACTTCTATCAAATTTCAAATTGAGTTGGTTCAGGTTAGGAGGCTTCCAAGAGTAAGCCCTGGATGTTATTGTCAAAGATGATGTAGCTATGCTGATCCAGCCCCTTGAGAAATCATGAACTGAAAATGGATCAAAAGTGGGACAATGTTTTAAGCCAATAAGCTGTTTGAATCACTATATGTTCCATTAAGTCCTCCTTATGGTTAGAGGTACAACTTGGGTGAGCTCAGGTAGGGCTTCTGTCAAAATTTGAATGGACCCACCCTGAAGGCTCAAGCCCCTACTTATGGTGTTCTTGTTCCTATTCTTGCATCTGTTGCCCTAGCACCCCTCTATCATAGATTCTTCACTGTTTCCTGGAATTATTTGGCAAATAGTTTCACCACTTGCTTTGCATAGAAGACAGATATTTGGAGAAAGACACCAATCTGTTCTGTTTTTTTGTAGTATTTTGTTTTTTTTTTGATAATTGAATGAAATTTATTAATCGGCAATGATAAATAGTACAAGGTCCCCAAGGAGAGGCACCAGCTTTTCTGTAGTATTTCACAAGTATTGGTTTTCATATAAGCCACTTCCCAATAGAACACCTTACTTTTGGGCGGTATTGGTCCTTTTATAATACACACACATGAAGAAATTTTGCACTCAAACTTTGAAGATTTGTTTTCAGAGGGATATTATTTGTGCTGCACAAACATTGAAGACTAAGACTTGAGATATAATAGCATATGATAGCCATTCAAAGATCACTTCAATTCAATATCATTTGTGTAGAACTTACTTGGTTGCAGGCCATTGGGGGGGGGGGGTACCCAATGGTCAGGGGCCAAAGCTTGTTGAGAAGGAAGATGAAATTGATGCCATTCCATTTTGGGTTGGATAATGGGCTTGATGACTAGATACGATTGCCTGGGAAATCTATCGGTGGTTTTTCCAGTGAACCCTCTAGGCTCCCAGCTTGCTCACATGTATGCATTTGAGATCGTCCTCTGCAAATCAAATCCAACTTGAGGTTAGTCAATTGTAAGATTGGTTTTGTTCATTATGAGTGCAGGGTTGTATTTCACTAGAATTAATATACCAGAGTTCCATTTTCTCTTCCCTTTTCTATTGATAGGTTATCAGAATTACATAATACATTCATAAAACATCCTTGTGCCTCAGATTTTTCAAGCATGCATTTTTACCTGAGTTTAACCTGTGGAGGGTTTGGTAGAAAAACACGAGTTAATGGATTTGATTGTCCACCTTGAGCTTGTGAGTCCAATCCCAGCATACCTGCCCAAAGAAAAGGTAAGAAAGAACAAAGAACGCAGCAGAGTAGAGCATTGAGCTAAAACCTCAGTACCCTTTTCATTATTCTTTGATCTTATGCTTGATAAATTGTCATGCCAGGTTCTCTACACAGGAGGATGATGCCGGGGACCAGCCAAGATGGCCTTATGAATTCTGGCAAATGGATGCTGGACGCCGGCATCATCTCTCCTGAGAAGAGAACCTCAGATGTTCTTTTCCTTCCCCTGTGGTAAGCATTGAGTTAATTTATAGAAGTCGTAATTCCTAATATTGTAATTAGATTACTCTTCCTTATCCAGTCTGGCACCAGTGGTGACTCGACGTTGGTTAATGAATAATTTTCCAAATTAAACATATTTTGATGTGTTTAGAACTGTTCTTTTGTGTGATTGGATTTAAAATATGAGCATGAGGGAAGTAGCCGCCAGTAGGTTTGATGTCATTTTGCTGAGGTCAGAGATTGTACGTCAGCTATACAAGACAAAAGAGCTGGATGCCATTTTATATTATTTTATTTTGGTATATGTATATATTGCGGAATATGGCCTATATCTTGTTCTATGGATAGCATTGCTCAGCTTGAGTAGGAAAGGGGGTAAATATCATGGATTTTTTTTTTCCAAATTAACATGGGAGATATTTCACTGATTTCTCAGAGATCAGAGAAGTTGCTTGTTTGCTACAATTTTTGCCATGTCAGCTGATCTCTTAAGCTCAGTTTGGAAGGAGTGCAAATGCAAATACGTAGAGTGCAAAATCTTATATTTTTCTATTATCTTGTATGTATTTGCACCGTACATATTTGCATTTATACTCTTTTCAAACTTGAGTCTTAGAAATTGATTATGAATTTGTTTGGTAGTGATTATCAGCATTGATTTTTGTGTTTATGGTAATTATTCTCCCTATTCATGTCAAATGTCACATCATCCAAAAATAAGGATAAGTGGACCGCAATCCACCTCATAAATCTGAAATTGCAACCCCCTCTTAGTCTACTAGTAGCCCCCCTATAAATTGCATCCTGCCCATGGATTGATCAGGATTCAGTCCACTCCTAGAAGTCTTAGCTCCACCCTAGGGGTGGACTGAACGGTTAAAACCCCAAATATCAATTTTTGATTGATTTGGTGACTTCTTAAAAATTGGCCAAACAAATCGCAAAATAATCGATAATTTTGGAATTGGCGATGTGTCTCTAATATGGCACTGATTTCTAAGAAATTGACATCAATCCCAAACATCACCATGATTTCCACAGCTCTATTGTAATTTATGACAAACATCATGGTTTTGAAAACCATACTGGATCGGATGGTTAGACTGGTTGACCCAGGAACCCCGGTTAGGTAACTGGTTATGTTTCACCCTAAAACCACTTTTTGGTCAAAAACTGTTGATTTGGTCAGTGACCTGTTGACTTAGGCGATCGAACCGTTGACCTGTCAATTCGGACAACAGTTTTGGCCATTTTTTAAATGGGAAAATTATTGATTAGTACTACTTTGGGCCTAGTGCCACATTGGTCCCTGAACTTTAAAATGCGATAATTTAGTACCCAAACTTTTAAAACGTGACAATCCAGTACCTATCGTTAACTAGTTGTTAACTGGCCATTAAGTGGCATTTGAAAAAGACACAAATGCCCTTTGAGTGTCATCTAATTTTTTTTATCAACCATCCAAACATTGACAAAAATTATCAGTCTCAAATCCTTGCCTCTTCAAACATGACCCCAACTTTCTTGTATGGAAAAGGCAAAGATTTGAGATTGTTAATTTTTTGTCAATGTTAGATGGTTGATAAAGAAAATTAAATAACAATTGAAGGGCATCAAACATGACCTCAACTTTCTTGTATGGAAAAAGCAAAGATTTAGGACTGTTAATTTTTTGTCAACGTTTAGATGGTTGATAAAGAAAATTTAATAACAATTGAAGGGCATTTGTGTCTTTTTGAAATACCACTTAACGGTTGGTTAACAGCTAGTTAACGGCAGGTGCTGGATTGTCACGTTTTAAAAGTTTGGGTACTGAATTGTCGCATTTTAAGTATAGGGTCCATTTTTTTAAGTCCGACGGGCCGGCCCGTCCCCCGGACGGGCTTGAATACGCATATGGGCCTGTGGGCTTAACCTCGAGCCAAAAAGCCCGGCCCACAATAAATTCGAGCCGGGCTCGGGATTTGCCAAAATAGCTTGGCCCAACCTATAACTAAACCTAAAAATCCTAGTCGAAGACCCCCTCTTTTTTTCACCTCTTTGCCTCTTTCCTTTCTTTTTCCAACCGAACCATTCTTCTCTACATCTTCCATAGTTTTCATCCTCACACTCTCAAGCAGCCACACAACCGGTGAGGCGGCGAACATTCACCGACGCAACAACTTCGGCGGTGAGTCCTCACTCCTCTCCTTCTCTCTCTCTCTCTCTCTCTGACGTGAAATGATCACTGTTAAACTTAAAATCGCAAGTCGCAGCTCACAGACCACAGTCACTGCGAACTCAGTTCCGACGAACACAATCGGGCTTCGGGCTTTTTATCAGGGCCGGGCTCGGGCTTGGGCCTAACAAATTTTCATTAATGAAGAGTAAAAGCCCGGCCTGAACCTGGCCCGGCCATGAACAGGTCTAATCAGACTATTTGACTCGGGAAAAATTCCCAAAGCGGTTCCGTGTCCGGTCCGATGTTTAAAACCTTGACAAACATACTTGACCTTCTAATGTTATATTACACTCTCTTCGCTTCTTACTTTCTTTTCTGATTTGATGATATTTTGCCTGTTGATGTTTTCTTTGGTATCTGCAACCCCCCTCCCCACCCCACCCCTACTCAAAAAAAAAAAAAAGGTAGATATGGGAGTTATATATGCGGAGAGGATGTTCTTTTTACGATTCACCCATTCATTGTAACGAGGTTTTGTCAATCACTCAAGTGATATGGCATCATGAATTTGAAAAAGCTAAACATTTTTGGGAGAATGACAGCCCAAGGTCAGAATTTTTAGGTCCAAAGTATGCTAGGGTGGGTAATGTGTAGAGTGGGGGTTTTTGACATTTTGAATGTTTATAGCTCTGCAATGAAAATCAGAAATCTGCATGGGTCTGTCCGTACTTCTCAGTTCTTTTTTAATAGATGAATTCTGTAGCTGCAACTTGCAACCGTAAATGGACCTATGAACAACCACTCTTAGTTATCACGTTCTTGTTCCCATCATCTACGGTTTCAGTGCCCTATGGTCCAGTCCTATCAGGTTACTCCCCTCTTATTTTTAGGCCATGTTTGGGAGTGCTTATTGAATAAGTGGTTAAAACAAGTGCTTATTCGAATAAGCACTTATTTGCATTTCGGTCATTTGGCATCCAACTTTTTCAAGTGCTTTATTTTTATATTGAGTGTTTGGTAGTCTTTTTCTCTAATAAACACTTAAATAAGCATTTGTGACTATTTTGTCCTTCATTTTCTTTCAAATTTTCAAAATATATCATTTGCAAGCACTTTTATTAAATTATTTTTATAAACACTTTTATGAAAGTACTTTTATAAAAGCACTTTTATTTTGGGCTTAAAAAATAAGCCCTCATTTTTAAAATAAGCACCTACTTTGGGCTTATTTTCCAAATACCAATAAATGCTTAATAGCTCAAATAAACACTTATTTTTAAGTACTCCCAAACATGGCCTTTGTAAGACTTAAGCCTCCCTTGTCAATAAAATGTGTTGGCATGTACTATAGAATCAATGAAAAGACTATTTTACCCTTGATTTTTTTTAAACTGTGGCAATCTATATGGTTGACTCAAATTGACCAAAAAGAACATTGGAGCTTCTCCAAACTCTCCAACGAGATGAGTAGTCATGCAGAAACAATAGGGAATTCCATTTACCATCATTTTGCGGGTAGCAATATATGAAACTTAACATCTTAACCATAAATCTTGTAATCAGAAGGTCCCGTCACCAAAAGCGAAGACGTTGAAGTTTTAATATTCAGTCATAGCAATGTGGGTGTGTTTTAGAGAATAATGGTGGAAAACATTGGGTGGAGACATATATATATAAAGGAATATATGTGACTTTGGGATTGATTATTGTGTCATCTAGTCGTTTTCATTATAATACATCTACAATAATGTGATCCAAAAAGGTAGAAGTGCTAGACCAAGATTTAGGCGCAAAAGATACCGAAAAAAAAAAGCAATGCAATAAGTCCCTTCAATCAGCGATTAAAACGCTATTGGTTAATTAGATGATCCACCAGTAGGAGCTTTATTGCTCAGAAGATTTTGGAATTTGAAGAAGAGGTCTGAAAAATTTGAACATGCGATTAGTGAATTGTGTGATAAACATAGTTGGCACAAGGTGCTAACTGGGTAGTTGGTAAGGTCTCTTGCTGATTGTAACAGAGACTTGGGATCCTGAGATCTAATCCCACCTGCACCAAGGTTGGGGGATGGGCTGCTCCTGTTTACATTGTGGGCACCATTCCCATTGAAATTATACTTGTACCGAGTCATTCTGACCCTGCCCGGCTGCCTCTTGTGAAACGTTCATAATATTGGGGGGTGTTTGGTTTATCTATAAGTTTGTGGCAGACAGATTACCTGTAAGTTATAAATTCCTTTTTTTAAGAAGCCCGTGGGTTATTTCATTCAACTTTGCATGTGCAAGTAAGAGATAAAGCTTTCCTAGCTATAGCATGGACTACATAGTTTGCAGTAACGTGGAACAAAAGATACCGAGCAAGATGGAAGGTTGGTAATGAAAGTCGTGCAGTTAGCTAATATGGTAATGATCATCCAACAAAAACTGAACGATATAATAATCGAAAGAGGAAATATGTAATTCTTTAGCAAGCAAACAACAGACCATGAAGCAGGGGCAGAGATGGGAATTTTTTACGAGGGGTCAAAACCTAAAATGGATGGGGGGTGGGGGGGATAAACATAGATGGGCCGTTGGGGGGCCAAACCATTGGGGTGCGTAGTGAAGGAGGGAAAAAATTTACATGGAGGGGTAATATTAGAAATTTAGAAGTGGGCCATAGGGGGGCCATGGCTCCCCTGGGTCCCCTTGGCTCTGCCCCTGCCATGAATAAAAGTTGTGGATTCAGATTCCTCGGGAATCCCTCAAGAAACAACCACAATGGTCTCTTGCAATCAATCCAACCGCTGCATCCACATTAATTTTAACTACACCCATTGGAGATTTGGAGGTCGACACCATAGACTGATAAGTGGGATCAATAGAAGGTGTAGGCTGATCTGACAAGGAAATTTTAGAGGCAGAAAGAAAATTAATAATGGCATTTGCCTTGGAGATAATACTAATAGGATTGAAAGAAACTCCTTCAAGTAGCATTTGGTTTCTAGCATGCCATATATGCTTCATGTAGATACTCCTTTTTCCTTGATAAAATTCCTTTCCTTAACCTAATCTATTTATGATTGATAAAATTATTTAATAAATGGGGAAATTTTGTGTCTCAAAGTGGCAGCTTAAAGTAAATAATATGGAAACAAATTCGTTTATAGATTTCAGCAAGTGAACGGTGAATCCTTTGTGCAATTCCGTCTTTTCAAAGACGGACTGAAAGCCGCTTAATTTAAAAAATAGAAAAATAAAAAGCAGAGAAAAATTCAATTGTTTGTATTGCAATTTCATATTGAAAGGTAATAGAATATAAGTAAAAGTGGAATGTTTTCTTTTGTAGTGGCTTGCACATTCCAATTTCCAAATAACCACTCACCACGGCTGGGCTTTAGACTATAATGGGACGGGCTGGGCAATGCCATTATGAAGAGATCAGACTCGGGCTTAGCACGGAAGGCCTTGTTAACTTGGTCCGGAGTGCAGACCAAGCCTTGAACATGCACTCTAATCCAAATTGCCAACTTGTAGAAGATTAAAGAATAAGGAGTTATTTTCCAGAGAGAAGCTTGGTATTTGCATGATTTTTGCTTTGATGAAATCCTGTCTCGAAAGAAACTTGGTTTCAAATCGGGAGCTTCTCACAGCATATTCCCAATCGTATATTAAGAACATCTCTCAATGAAAAGTATGAAAAATATTCTCAATGCAGGCTAAGATATGCATGTAGGGGCACATCCTGTGGGGTGCAAATATGAACTCTGAAGTCGACATCCTTATAGAGTTGTTCGTGTCATAAATGATTATTTTAAAAGATTAGAAATGGACTATCCTCGGCAAGAGAAAGAAAAGGAGGTATACTGATCCACCTCATCCAGGCACTATCCAAAGTAACTCATGTCAATTGTGAAGGCACTCCCAATCTAAACCAGTGTCAAAGAATGTTCAGAAAAATCCATTTAGGCTCAGTTTGGTAGGAGTACAAATACAAATATGTACTCCTTCCAAACTAAGCCTTACTGAGAAATTGAATTCATCTAATCCAGTAACGATTCTTGCCCATAAAGCAGAAGAAAGCAAAAGTGCGAGACATTTGATACAAAGCATATTTCATATTGAAAAGAATTTTCAGGCAGATATTGCATATCTCATCTTTTTCGGATAGTGTTATGCATCTTTTTTGAAAACAAACAAGAAGACATTTTTCATCAAAAAGAAAGAAAGAATAGAAATATTTTTCCTCAATGGACCCCATGTGCAATTTGCTCTCTCTCTCTATATATATATAGCCCTCTTCATAAAGTGTATTATGTAATTGATCCATCCAAACGGTAGAACTGTTTGAATGGTTTCCGCCCCATTTCTAAGTCTGATTTTCCTAAAATCATCTAAACTCAGTATCATAGTTGAACCGTACGATGGACTTTGGATCTGTACCAACAATACACTCCCAACATGTCCCAACTGATCACTACAGCCGCATTGTTGGGAGTGTTTTGTTGGTAGCAGATCGCTGCCCCTTTTTATGAATATATTATATATAATTTAAATATATTAATATATATATATTTATATATAATATAAATAATATGTATTATATATTATATATCAATTGGTTCAGATTAATAAAATGTTTTGTTTCAGATTATCATTTTGATTCAAATTTTCAGTTTTTTATGACATCTCCCACATAATGTGCAAAGGCTGCAAAATGAGAGTAGTTTTCTATTCGGCTTCCTTGGGATTTCGGAGTAGACCTGTTTGTGGGTTGGGTAGTATACAAGATGGCCCGGCCTAGTTCATTATTTTTTGGGTTTAGACAAAATTTTAGGCCTGTGGATTTGGGTTCAGGTTTTTTCAAAAAGGCCCAACCGGATACTATCACATATAATAAAAATATATATTAATTATATATAATATATATTTATTTATTAAATTATTATCAAATACTAATTTACTATTTAAAAAATATAAATTTATTATAAATAAAACATTTTATGTGCAGACTGGGCTTTAAACTCGGACTCGGGCCTAAACATTTTGTGCTGGTAAAGAGGCAAACGTCAGCCCGAACCCGATACAACCCGTAAACAGGTCTACTTGGGAGCAAGCTTATTAATCAAGTGTTCTTTTGGAGGCGAAACACTCCATGAATCCGTACCCATTTTTATCTCCCCTTTCCGGGAAAGTGGAACGTGGAAATACGCCACAAAACCATTGTCCTTACTTTTCACAACCAAACAAGCGTTCCAATCTCGCCTTAACTTGACTTTTTCACCTTTCCAAAACTCGCAAATTTGTTACAAGAAAATGGTTTTCGAACCACTGTTACTCGAACAGTCAAATCGTTCAGTTTGGAAACTGTTTAAGCAATCGATTCTATTTTACCCTAAATCTAGTTTCTGTTAAAAAATTGTTGAATTGGTCAACGATTTGTTAATTTAGGCAATCGAACTGTTGACCCATTTGATTTATTCAACGAATTTTGGTTATTTTTAAATCTTAATTATTTTTTATTTTTTAATTTATTTTGTCAGAATGAGCTGTCTGTTCAGATCGGACGGTTGAACCGTCAACCTAAAAACCGATGGTCAGAACAGTTCCGGTTCCAGGTCATTTTTTAAAATATCGATGAGAAAAACTTAGGCCATAGCTAAAAAATTAGCTTAAAAGAGAGAGAGAGAATAGCTAGTAAATTTCCTTTAACCTCACATGATCAAAGTCCCAAGCCCAAACCCAATATCCTCGCTTATGAATGATGCAAATTAATTAACCACACTTTTAAGGCTGATTTATCTCCTTTTTGCCGTTAAAATACCCTTATGAAAATTGAATTTTTAACTAAACATGGGTTTTAGTATTAGGGGTTTGGGAAGAGATTATTCATCACATGTTTGAAATACATGTATATATCAACCAAACATGGATATATACTTCAATACGCCGTTCTTTATGAGAAACGAACAAGAAATCATCTTTGATTCTTCCTTCTCAAGGCTGGCTTGGGGATATGAAGAACAGACAAGGATGCACGGAAGACAGAACCTTAATAATGTCAGTCACTGTTTGTATGGATCAACCCAAGTGACCAAACATGGGCCCATTGCTGTGAATCTTCTCAGTCTGATACGAAAAAGGCAATAAAGCACAATAAAATGTGTGAACTTCTGATTGGGTCTCGTAGTATACCAGACCTGGACACTGGAGTGCAATACAACAGTATTAAGTCCTAACTATTAACATTCTTTTCTAATTCCTACCAAAATCAAAGTAAAAGAGAAGAGAAAAGAAAAAAAAGAAACACTTTAGGTGGGGACTCTACTTTAAATGCAGGAAGAACGCTGGCCTATTCTGTGTCACAAAAGATAGAGCTTCAGCTACCCCCACGCAAGATCGAGAAAGACAGAAGAAGAAAGCTAAAACCAAGTACCAACCCAAACGCTCCCAATCCACTTTTCTTCCCGTTCATCTCTTCCACCTGCAGTCTGCACAAGACCTCAAAGCAAAATAGGAGAATGAAATCCATCGTAAACCTTCACAGCTCCTCTGGCATTCCTCTCTGTGTCTTAGGGATCACGCACCGTCTCACTTTTCCTGTGGAGTATGTTTCCTCTCTCTCTTTCTCTCTCTCTCTCTCATGCGTTATGGGCTTATATGCTTTATCTCTAGTGCAGGATAGCGGATCATGATCGCAGAAGGGAAGCCATGAAAAAGCAAAGATCTCGAAGAAGAGAGACTTATTCCGCCCCAAACCAAGACATGGGTAGTGGGAGAAGAATCCAAGGAAACTTCAAGGGGATCAAAGAAGGTGGAGCACTTGACCAAGATCTGGCCGGAGATCTGGATGAGTGGTATTTTAGCTTAATGGGTTATACAGCCAAAGCTGCTTAGCAGGCGGACTGCTACCACGGCCAAATGATCATCTGCCTCTTTAGCCTAAGAACAAAAAAAAAAAGTGTTCTGACTCCTTGTCTGATCTCATTTTCAATTAATTTCTCTATCTTGGCATGTTTGTTTCATTCTCGATTGTTATATATTTTTCTTCTTTGAAACTCTTCTCATGAGCTGAATACATGAGATGAGCAGTAAGCAGTAGAGAAGCAGCTAGCTAGTACATGCCCCTTTCCGTCTCTGTCATGTCCGACCAAGAGATTAAAATCTGAGATCTTTTTAGCTTTGTGTGAATTTTTTCCGAAGGCAGGCGATTTCCACACACTCACCTTGTATTGATCGATTTCTGTTACCAAGGATTCAGCTGAAGAGACGATTCCAGTTCCAGATAAGCTTGGAGAAGCCTTTTACTATCATACCAGAAGTTTAGAACTTCCAAACCGACAGATCAACCCACCTCTTTCACACTAGTCTAGATGTCTCAACTCTCGAGCTGAAGTCTGAAGAGACGTAATATGAACCAAACAATCACTTGAATTGACGAGACAACGATAATGCCAACGACGCTAAAAAGTAAAAACAGATAATCCGGTCGATATTATGTTTGAATGCCCACGGGACGGTAGCCCTTGACGTCAGACATCGTCGCAATGAGGAAAGAAACGTGCCAACTGTCAAATGTTAAAAGATAACTACCCGAAAATACAGATAGAACTCTTTCCAATGAGTCGGAATTTGCAGTTCCACTTTCATAAGCTTGTATGGTTCTTTACAAAATTACAACTACAATTGCGTCTATCATCTTTGGCGTTTGAAAAGAGAAACCTGTCCAAATGAAATTAGGCCCCGTTTGGTTAGCAAGAATAGGGGTCTGGTTCGGAATTGGAATTGGCTATTCCGGTTCTAACTGTTTGGTTATAGGTAGAATGGGAATCCCATTTCTATTCTTGCTGGAATGGCATTCTCTTTTGTGAGAATGAGGGAATGCCATTCCCTGCCCCTCCCTTGAGAATGAAATCTCATTCCTGTTAATTCCAATTCTCATTCCCATTTTTTTATGAACCAAACAGATTAGGAATAAACCGTTCCGATTCTGATTCCAATTGTGAACCAAACAGACCTTTATTTCATTCATTTTATTTGTTATTTCTCAAGAGTACCGGACAAATTGTCTCGCCAAGTTCATCAACAAAATGGTATTAACGAAAAACAAGCTTTTTACCTTTTTTAATCCAAATGGAGAAATAATTTAGGATGTATTTGGTTCACAGTTAGAAGCGAAATCAAAATCCATTGGAATCGAAATCTGAATGATTTATTCCCATAGTTTATTTGACTTAGACAGAAATCGAAATGGGAATTGGAATGGAAGTTCATTCCCATGGGAGGGGGAGGGAATGGCCACCAAGAATGGGAATAGAATTTTAATTCTATCCAACCTAACACTTGGAATCGAATTGACCCATTCCGATTCCAATTTCAGACCCCTATTCCTACAAACCAAATAGGCCCTTTGTTTCTTGAAGATCCCAAATAACCTCGTTTTTAGTAGAGGATGAATAGAAGAGATTTGTGTTTGTCCTCTGAGGTCTTGAAAAAAAAAGAAAATTTTCAGTTTAATACCTTAAACTTTGGGGTAGTGTCAAGTTAATACTCGAACTTCAAAACGTGTCACTGTAGTACCCAAATTTTGGAAAACTGTCAATTTAGTCTAAAATTGTTAACATACGTTAAGTGGCATGTAAAATAACACAAATGCCCTCTGGACGTCATCTAATTTTCTTTATAATGTCCTTTGTGGAAATGACATGTTTTGAAGATGAAGGTCGGACTGATGCATAAAAAGGTCTGGTAATTTATCTCAACGAAGCCGGGTGAAGGGGTGTAGGCAAAGGCAGTGTCTCCGATGGCCCAAAAGACCCTCCACATTTTCTCAGTTGCAGTGACATCCAATCCTACTTCCACCCCTCTCAAATTAGTCCTTACATTATGGTTTCTCGCTGCAAAATGAAACCCATCCAAGAAAAATGAATCATCCTTTTTGGGTATCTATCCATCTTGTTTTAGAGTTTTATGAATCAGTTACTGAAAACCTACAACTTTGGCTGCGGAGAGATCGATTCGGGTTCAAATCAGCCCCCCACTTGACTGCCCCCCACAATGTCCCACAGCACATTCTGCCGTGTATTGTGCACATCTATCGATAATAATATCATCATTTCTGGTATTATCATCGGGAGAGATGTTCCCAATACACAATAAAGATGTGATGTGGGACGTTATGGGGGACAATCATCGGATTAAATTACTTATGCCATATGATAGATGAGTGGTGGTGTATCCGATGGTAGCCCCTACAAAACTACCATATTGAGCTAATCCACAAGCTGAACCATTATTCCTCATGAGGCAAAAAGGGAAAATTAGAAACCCCATTAGGATTCCAAACATTCAAGAAAGACCCTTGGTTTATCAATGTTTTGAACCTGAATTTTGAAGTGTTTGTTTAATTTCTCTTAAAAATCTAATCAAGAACAGACTTGTTTCAGGAACCTGTTTTTTACTTAGATTGGCTTTCACTGCATCCATGTATGTAAGGGTGTCAATGGACCGGTTTTGGATTGGACCCCATCCAGTCCAAAATCAATTCGAATGGATTGGATGGACCAACAAGACCATGGATTGGACCAATCCAGTCCAAAATATTTATTAGATTGGATTGGACATGGTCCATCTGTAACAAATTTATAATAGATTGAATTGGATTAAGCTAATATCTAGTCCATTAATATAATATAAGAATATATGTGTCAATGACCGATTTAGATTAAAATCAATCTAAACCAAAATGAATTTGAACAAATTAGACAATCCAGGCATTGAATTGGACCGAATCAAATTGGTCCAAAACATTTATTAGATCGGATTCGACATGATCCATTTATAATGGACTCACATTGGACTGGATCGAATTGGACTAAATCCAGTCCAATTGGACCGGTCCAAATGTATGTGTAGTTTCTCTTGCCTGTCAGGGTCAGGAGACCTGTAACAGTCAGGAAGTAGAACAGATGTGAGCCAAGTAATGACAGCGAAGTGTATGAGAGCAGCAGGTCCGGCTATCCAACCCAACAGAGCTACAACCCAAGCTGGGGAGAGAACTCCAGATCCAATAACATTAGTAAATATGTGAGCACTTGCAGTCATCAATGTCCCTTCATATCAAAATGAATCACAAGTAAATATATTTAACTAATTTTTCAATAAGAATCTCAGAACTGTTTTAACAAATGGTAACAATTACCAGTCCTTTTTACGCGTCGCGTCCGTCGTCGTCCAAATTCTTACTGGTATTAGTTTTCTGGTTTTACTAGTCCTTATTTTTTTTTAATTTCTAGTATTAGTTTTTTTTTTAACAGCAATTTTTTCATCCACGTACGCTCTGGTTTAGTTTCAGCGTCTAAGAAGAAGACAATGAACCGTATTCTTAAGGGTAATTTTAGAATTTTAGAATATTATAAATTACTTACTTGTGACACCACGTGCATCAGTTAATTAACGGACTACTGATGAATTACGGCATGTATTAAATTAACAGTTTTCCAAAATTTGTACAGTGACATTTTAAAGTTTGAGTATTAACATAACACTATCGTTTAAGGTACTAAACTGAAATTTTTCCAAAAAAAAAACATTTCAGAAGTTCTTTGGTGCAACCTCTGCTTCTTAACAGTTCATGCGTCTTTATTCTTACCACAAAACCTTACCTCCCTTTTGTTACTCTTTGTAATATCCGATTGTTTGAATTTGACCCCATTAACAGTACTGATCTGAATTAGATCCGAATATAATTGGATCGAATATGAATCTACACCTGTTCGATCCGAAAACATCTGATTATATGTATGTCCATAAATACTTGAAAATCTATAATAACAGTAAAGTTCGTTTAGATATTGTAGTTTTTGTTAGGTTTAAGTCACGTACAAGTTATTTTCGATTCATTTGGTTAAAGAAATGCATATTAAAGTCAGTTTAGTTAATTTTATTAATAATATATAATATTTTAATCATTTAAATTTATTAATAACATTTAATTCAATATAATCCTAATGGATAAGATCCAGCTCAAATTCAAATATAAATGTACCAAATTGGGATATGCCTATATCTATTTGCTGCTTGGTGAAATTCAGGATTTTGAAAATCGGAGCGACTAGACAGTTGGTTTCATTGACCTAAGAATTAGGGTTGTTCATAAGAAGGCCCAATCCGATCAAACCGACCAACCCGAGTTAGCCGGGTTATCTTTAGCATCGATCGGTTTCGGGTTGTAAAACATCATAAACTGATGGTTTGGGTCGGTTTCGGTTTTCTTGTGTGAAAACCAAAATCGACCCGAATCGAACCCACTAATTGTCCCTTTGTGAAGTTCAAATTAATTAAGCCCTCATAACTAATTGCCCCTCTTCAAATCTATTACATTGGCTAGATTAATGATTGTAATTAACTGTCTTGAAGTCTCCCTATAGAATTCACCCAAATCCCAATTAAGACAATTAAACTTCAAAATTAATATATTATCAAAGGGATAGGTTGGAGGTTTTGGAGATGAAACTTAATTACTGAAAAGATATATAACATATATACCTCTATAATAGGCATTATTATTATATATGGGTTTTGCTTTTCTTCTCCTCTCCAAAGTCCAAACTGTAAACTAAAGGTATATCCTATTTATCAAAAAACAAGGCTTTTCGCACGTTCACTACCTCACATATTGTGGTGCCAGAGTCCCCACATATATATTGCAGTTGAGTTTTTGTCAAGCATATTGAACTCAGAGTCGAAACCGACCCAACCCGACTCAAACCAACTAGGTTGGTTTTGCTTAACACTGGGTCGGTTTCGGTTTCAAGTTCAGGTAACCCGACCAGGTCGGGTCGATTGGAAAAACCTCAATAAACCAACCCAACCCGACCCGTAAACAACCCTACTAAGAACAAGTCATACGTCTTGTCCAGTTTTAGTCAAAACAGTTTCATTTCAGGTCTGATTTTCAAAACCATGGTGGAATCAGTTGTACTAATAAACCATTTTCATTTTTTTTTCATTTTTTTACTTACAAAATTTGAAAAACATATATCAATAGGATTAAATAGGTAACACGATCTCTTTTCAGATATTATAGTATTTTAGATATTCAAGCAATTTGACTGCATTTATAATTATTCAAAGTCCAAGCCACATCCAGATCTTGTGTTGCCTTTTTTTAGGTTCTGTCGATCGAGTAC